CATACCCCCAGCCCTTTTTATTTTTTGAGATAGGGTCTCGATAAGTTGCTTAGGACTTCACTAAATTGCTGAGGCTGGCTTTGAACTTGTCATCTTTCTGTCTCAGCTTCCTAAATTGCTGGGATTACAGGCATGAGCCACCAAGCCTGGCTAGAGGATGATTTAACCAGAAATTAGAGACTAGTTTATGCCATATAGCAAGACCCCATCTCAAACAAAATTTTAATTAGTTGTAAAGGATCTAATTTGTTATGCATTACAAATATTGACATTTGAAAATATATATATATTTTTTTTTTTTTGGTAAGGAAACTTTATTTAGCTTACAGTTTGGGAGGCTGAAAGGTCACATGGCATGGCATGGGCTTTGTGAGAGCCCTCTTGGCTGCATCAGGATTGAGTGGGCCCATTGGTTCAGCTTCTGGTAGTGTTATTCATGCTGACAGAATTCCAGGGTGGCACAAGGCATCATATGGGAAAAGAAGTATATCTGTGTGTATCTGTCTGCTCCACTCTTTTGAAGATATTCAGTGAAGGCTGTTTCCTCTTTTGGAGGTGGCCTGCTCCACATACCTCAGAGCTTTACTTCTATTTCACTGAATAAATCCTTTATGCTCTTTCTTTTTTTTAACTTTTTATTTTTTTAATATTTATTTTTTAGTTGTACTTGGACACAATACCTTTATTTTATTTATTTATAAATAAATAAATAATCGATCATAGGTGCTAAGGCCTGCATTTGCTAGGCAAGCACTCTACTGCTGACCCACAACTCCAGCCATATTTTTTATTTTTTGATACTGGTGATTGAATTCAGTGGATGCAGTCCTTTTTATTATTTTATTTTGAGACAGGGTCTTGCTAAATTGCTTAGGGCCTCATTAAGTTGCTGAGGCTGGCTTTGAATTTGTGATCCTCCTGCCTTAGCTCCCAAGCCTCTAGGATTACAGTCATGTGCCACCATACCCAGCTCCAGACTGGTCTTGAATTTGCATTCCTTTTGTTTCAGCCTCTCAAGTAGCTGGGATTACATGCTCAGGCCATTGTGCCCCTACACCATTCATTTTAAATGACAACGCCCACCCCCTGCATCCCCAATTTTGTGTTTTGGATTCTGGGGAATCAAACCAAGGGCTTTGACCATGCAAAACATTGCTCTTATCACTGGAGCTACACCCCCAGTCCACAAAAGAAAATTCTGGCTAGTCTTCAGAGTCATTCATTTTTCTGAACACCAATGCCAACACTTAGGAAATGGCATTTTGCCTGGCACAGTGGCACATGCCTGTAATTCCAGGGGCTCAGGAGGCTGAGACAGGAAGATCACAAGTTCAAAGCCAGTCTCAGCAATTTAGCAAGGCCATAAGCAATTTAGTGAGACATTGTCTCAAAAAGGGCTAGGGAGGCTGGGGATGTGGCTCAAGCGGTAGCGCGCTCACCTGGCATGCGTGTGGCCCTGGTTCAATCCTCAGCACCATATACAAAATAAAGATGTTGTGTCCGCCAAAAAATAAATATTAAAACTCTCTCTTTTTAAAAAAATTTTTTTTTGAAAAATAAAAAAAAAGGGATGTGGATGTAGCTCAGTGGTAAATTGTCCCTAGGTTAAATCCCAGTACCAAAAAAAAAAAAAAAAAAATTGCATGATGAGTTGCGTACCTTTTTTTTTTTTTTTTTTTCAAAATGGGAGATCTATGGGAAAAGGAGGAGGCAGGAACAGAGAACTAGTATTATACCACTGATCTTAGGCAGACTGATTTTATTTATTGTATTTATTTACTTTTTGCAGTACTGGGGATCAAACCCAGTATCTCACACATGCTAAGCAAGTGCAAATTATATGCAATGTTCTCATAGGCTACATGAAGTACTTTTATTTTTGATATGTGGGTCTTGCTATGTTGCCTAGTCTAGTCTGGAACTTGTGGGCTCAAGTGATCTCCCCATCTGGCTGCCCAAGTAGTTACATACACTCCCTGTTTAAAGAGACTTTTTTTTTTTTCATTTTTATATTTTTGCAGTTATGGGGTTGGAGCCCAGTGCCTCACACATACTAGGCAAGTGCTCTGTTAGCAAGGGACTTTATTTACTTATTGGTACTAAGGATTAAACCTGGGGTCTCATGCATACTGGGCAAGAGTTCTAACACTGAGGTACATGCCCTGCCCTTTTCACTTTTTTAAAAAAATATTTTTTAGTTGTAAATGAACACAATACCTTTATTTATTTATCTTTTTTTAAAAAATATTTTTAGTTGTAGATGAACACAATATCTTTATTTTATTTTTTATGTTTTGCTGAGGTTTAAAACCAGTGCCTCATGCATGTGAGGCAAGCACTCTACCACTGAGCTACAACGTCAGCCCTTGTTTATCTTAATGTGGTGCTGAGGATTGAATCCAGGGCCTCACACATGCTAGGTGAGAGCTCTACCACTGAACCACAACCCCAGTCCCCCTTTTCACTTAAAAAGAAAAAAAAATTATTCACTTTTTGTGGTACTGGGGATGGAATGCAAGGTCTCACAGAAGCTGGGCAAGTGCTCTACAACTGAATCACATCCTCAAACGTTCTTTTTTTTTTTTTTTGAGACAGTGTGCCCCCCAGGCCTTGTTCCTTCCCTGTGTATATGCTGTTGAAATTTAAGATTGCTCCCTTGAAACTTCCCAAGTCAAGTTTCTAGTAAAAGCCAGGTGTGGTGGTACATACCTATTATCCCAGGTACTCTGGAGGCTGAGGCAAGATCAAAGTTTGAGGCTAGATGAGCAACTTACAAAGATCCTGCTCAAAATAAAATGAAAAGGGGTGGGGATATAGCTCAGTGATAGAGTATTTGTCTAGCATGTGTGAGGATCTGGTCTCCATCTCCAGTACAACAACAACAAATAAGGGCTAGTGGATTTTGGCAATTAGGATTCCATAGTAAGCCATCCAAGGTTTTTGAGAAGGATGATGATACATTTTTTAAAATTATTCTGACAATTTATGAAATATGACTATAATCAGAAAACACTGTCAATATTAGTCTTAAAATTAGATTTTGAGATCATGGATGTAATCATGTATATGATTTTTCCCCCCCCCCAACACTGGGAATTAAATCCAGGTCTCTTGCATGCTAGACAAGCACTCAAGCACTGAGCTGTAGCCCCAGCCCCTGTTCAACAATGACATTTGGGGTAGGGGTGGGGTGCTGGGATTGAACCCAGGACCTAGCAAATGGTAAGCACAAGTTATATCATTAAGTCACACTGCTAGCCTGACTTTTCCTAAAATCCCTAACTGGCCTGTTTTATTGGAAGCATTTAGCAACCCTTTCCAGGCACTTCAGTCATTACTCCCTATTAATATACCTCTTAGCTGCTGTCAGTTGAATATTTATATTTAGCACCTATAAGTCTGATCTTCCCTGCTTCTGTGTATGCTCAGGCTGTTCTCTGCCATTTATAAAACTGCCTGTCTGGATTTCACCTGAGAAACTTCAGTGCTCTCTTTAGCCTTCTTTTTTGCAAATTGACAAATATTCACAATCTGTAGTTACATTCTCCTTATTGCCCCCACTTTGGGAGTAGCCAAGAAATTCAACAAGTCTTTAAAATGTCAAAATGTGGAGCTGGGGTTAGCTCAGTGATAGAGCACTTGCCTCATACATGTGAGACAGTGGGTGTGGGAGGCACTGGGTTCCATCCTCAGCACCACATATAAGTAAATATATTTTTTAAAAAAGGAAAAAGAAACATGCAGAAACAATTTTTTGTTAAATATATTTATTTTCTAGTTATAGGTGGACACAATATATTTATTTTATTTTTACGTGGTGCTGAGGATCGAACCCAGTGCTTTACGCATGCTAGGCGAGCGCTCTACCTCTGAGCCTCAACTCCAGCCACAGAAACAATTTTTTAAAAATGTGGTAGTCTGCAACATGAATGGTGTACTCCAAGAAATAAACTATTTGACCGGTATCTTTATATCCGTGTGGATTTTTAAAAAATAATTTTCATTCTTCTTACCCTAACCACTAAGTTCTTAACAAAACATACCGTTCGAAGTAAATATTTACAGTCTACAACACAAATCTTTACACCTGCAAGCATGAGAAAGATCTTTTCAGTCTTTTTATGGGTAAAAATAAAACCCAAAGGTATTATTCTGTGTATAACCTTCTCTTAGTTCTCAAACACTAGGAGTCTTCTGTTAGCAGTGGGTTTAAGAGCTGAAACTGATCACTTTTACACCGTTTGTTCACTTCCTCTGCCTCATTCCTTGCCCGAGACAGGGGCAAAGGACAGGTAGTCAGTAAATGATCAGGTCAGAAAGATGAGGGCTTATTTCGAGGACCCGATCCTCCCTAGATACACATCACCCCTATGTCTAGCCCAATACATTCGTTAAAACTGAAAGATCTGGAGAAGAAAGCAATGGCTTGAGCCAGATGCCTGAAACATTCTACTGGTAGCTTCAGGTATGCTAAGTAGTTCCTTTAAAGGTCACAACAGCCCAGCAAAATGTTATCGCAGTCTTATGTTCAGGCTTAAACATTAGACCTCAGGTCATACACTACATCCCTGCAAAGGACAGAAACATCTTTTATGGGAATCACATGGGGAAGCAGAGTCACTGATAATCTTTGAAGAATCTTAAAACAGCGAACTCGGCGAAGACCTCCGACACTTCCCCAGAGCTAGACACTAATTGAAAAGCCCATTGCAGTGATGCAAAACCGTTTCCTGCCCGACTCTCGCGAGAAGAAACTAGGTCCCCAGACGAAACGCTAAAACATACAGATTGGGCCTAGAACGTCCTTCCCCATCGTCCCCAAATCCTCCCGGGAAATCTAACAGTCGGGCAAAGGAGGCCACCTCGATGAGTCCAGCGCGCAGAGAACGCGCGGAACCAGGAAGAGGAATAGCTAGCCCACCCAAGTGTTTCTGATTGGCTGCCGGCTTAGCTTGGAACGCTGGGGCGTATGACGTCACATCCGCCGAGCCCGCCATCTTGTTCCCAGGGGCAGTTGGCGGAAGAGATCGCGCTCCCTGGCCACCGGCTTGCCTTCTTCCTGGAGTTCTCGCAGCCCGCATCTCGGTGTCTGCTCTCGGCCGGGGGTCCATTTTCGGGGTCAGGGTTGCCCTCTCTCGCCTTGCTGGGGCACAGCGAGGCGGCCCCCTCTTCTGACGGCATTCCATGGAGTAGGGTCCCGGACCGTTGTCCCGAAGAGCGAGATCGAGCTTCGCCCCCTCCCCCCTCCCTTCTCCCTCCCTCCTTCCTTCCGTCGCAACATGGCTAACAACAGCCCCGCGCTGACAGGCAACTCGCAGCCGCAGCACCAGGCAGCCGCGGCCGCGGCCCAGCAGCAGCAGCAGCAGTGCGGCGGCGGCGGCGGCGCCACGAAGCCGGCGGTCTCGGGCAAGCAGGGCAATGTGCTGCCGCTGTGGGGCAACGAGAAGACCATGAACCTCAACCCCATGATCCTGACCAACATCTTGTCGTCGCCTTACTTCAAAGTGCAGCTCTACGAGCTCAAGACCTACCACGAGGTGGTGGACGAGATCTACTTTAAGGTACGAAGCCTCTAGGCCTTGGGCTTGGGGGTAAGTTCAGAAGAGGTATGGAGGAAACCGGCGGAGGCGGCCCCCGAGATCTGAGGATTTGTGGGTGGGGGAAGGTCGGGCGGAGGGGGAGCTGTCGCCTGTAGCCTGTCAGGGAGGGGTCGGGCTGGGGCCGCCCTCTCGTTTCCTTTTCAGATTTTAGAGCCAGGAGAGCCCGCCACTTTCGATATTTCTCTTCCCCCAACCTCCTGCCTACCCCTGGGGGATGTTGGGCAAGAGGGATAGGGGAAAGGAGAAATGAGTAACAAAAGTCTCTCCAGTTCACAGCTTTAAATTTGTTTCTTTTGACATGGATCTATTAGGCGCCAACTTGGTGCTTCTCCCGCTCACCCGGGCCAGGGCATGTAGTGACTTCAATATGGGCCTCGTGTTGTTGGTACTGTCCAATCCACACAGGGACATGGTCAGTCCGTGTGTCGGTTGGGGTGGGAGGGATGGGGGTGGAGAGGTGCCAGTGCAAGATGTGTACAGAAGGCCTGGAAATTTTCCCAGCAGGAAGTCAGGAGTAAGCGGTCTCAGCCACCTGTGCATTGGGCATATTTAGAATTATCTGGGCCCTGGGCTTCTGCGGCAGGGTCGGTGCTGGCTTGGCTGTGCTGGGGAGCTCACCTGGCGCCTCCTCACTGCACTCTTGTCTCAGTTCTTGTTTCGTTAGCAGGATTGACTCAGTCTTGCAGCGAGGCTCGGAGCAGCCCAGGGTCGCAGGTAGAGGTATGCACTATTAATCATGCTCAATCGCCATAAATGCATTTCCCTGGTTAAATGAAAAGCTAATTAGACCTTTTTTTTTTTTTTTTTTGGGCCATTGGTTTTGGTCTTCATCAGTAGATAGACTTTTTCCACTTCCCTGCAAATTATGTAGTATTAAAAATACCTTCCAGGCCTCCAAACATGGATTTGTATTTTAAAGAGAATTAATAATAGCCTCAACAGTTTTTACAAACGTTTTAGTTAGAGCATTTACAATCTTTTGTCTGTAAAGTTTGAGACAGATCACGTCTTTTCTGTCATCCGAACATAGGACATTTCTCTATTTGTTTTGCTGCCTTTCCCCCCAATAATTGTTTAGATTATTTCAAGATTTTGAGATATTAGTTGCTTTTTTATAGAAAACATTTTGAGGAATACAGTTCAACCCTGGGCATGTAGAGTACAGAAGTAAATTTAATATTCTCTTACAAGAGTCTTGAGAAGGTGTAATTGTTATACTGTGAACTAGCTTTTTTTTTAAAAAAAAACTAGCTTTTTAAAGGTAAGACCTTTTCAACATGGATGCAATATGTCGAATAATATTTAACATACTATTCTATTCAGTAAACTTTGAAAAGCTGTAAATTGGATTTCTGCTCCTTTTGTGGCAGTTTCTGTTTTAAACTCTAGTTTATGTAGTAGGGGGAAAACTTTCATACGTTGTGTTTTGAAACAATTAAAGATCTACCAGGAATTATTTTTAAGTTTAAAACTAAAGACCCAGATTTTGTCATTAATATGGTTGTATCAAATAATCATTGAAATATGTAGACCTCTAATTTTTGTACTTATTTTTTATTTATTTATTTTTGGTACCAGGGATTGAACCACTTAGCCACATCCTCAGCCCTTTTATTTTTTTATTTTGAAGTACTTTAATTTTGTTTTGTTTCTATCCCTTGACTAGTCTTTGAGGAATTGAAACATTAACACAGCAAGCTGGGGAAAAGAAATAGTTAAGTACTCCAGGAGTTGAGCAAAACAGTGTAGTACTTGAGTACCACTAAAAAGCAGTATAAAATAATACCATGTGTGGGTGGAAATACACTTTCAGAAAGATAATAGAATGAAAGAACAGGATTTTTTTTTTTTTTTTAACAACAAAATGAGATCTTTCCAAAAGACTTCTTGGCTTCTATTTTATAGTTAAAATTCTTTTTATTGCTATTTTAGATAAAGCTATTTTTGTAGGGTGGTCCTTTAGCAAAAAGGATACTGTATCATGTTTGATTTTACTTAGTGTATATTAATGGCTATTCACACTCCATTTCTGATACAGTTTATATTCTTGGGGGGAAAATTAGATTGGTTCACATAATTAGGCTGAAAATGAATTGTAAGTGACTGAAAATCTCTGTAAAGTGACTTTTGTGGTTTTATCTTTAATCAGGAATAAACTTGATTCTTGTGGAAAAAATGTGCAAATAAAAGTTCTGTTATTTTGCATTTTACTTTATTTTATCATGTAAATTTTTTAAAATCATAAAGTAGAAATATTGAGGGCATTTTTTTCAAACTTCATTTTAAAATGAGTTTTTTTTATTTTAAGCAATTTATAATTAAAAGGCTGAATAGTATCAAATATATTGTGCAAATTGATGAAGACTGTAGACATTTCCTGACTCCCACATATGTAGAAATTAGCTGTGCATAAAGCTAGTTTAATGGGATTTCTGCTCTGCCAACACATTAAGGTTTTATTAAATCCTGGTAGTTTTATTGGTATTCTTTAACTGTCTAAGCAGTTTTTCCAAAGATAATTTACACACTTAATGTGAGTAAACAGTATTTTTGGAAGAGTTGCTCTGTTATGGACTTGGGCTTAATCAGAATTTTAAAAAATTCAGAGTATGAATGTTTGTTGTCTTCCTCTTTTCTATTTTCAGGTCACGCATGTTGAACCTTGGGAAAAAGGAAGCAGGAAAACAGCTGGCCAGACCGGGATGTGCGGAGGGGTAAGTAGAAGTACGTGCATTTTTCAGTTTTTCTGTGTCTGATAATTAAGTTTATTAGAAAACTAAAGTCTGTCACATTCAAGTGACAATTTGTTGGTGGATCTTAGAATTTGTAAAAAATGTAAACTCAAGGGTCCAGTGAATTGGGTTACAAAAAGTGTTACTGTTAATACTTCATTCTTATTCTGGATTATGTCTTGGTTATTAATCCTAACATGATTAGTCAGTGGATGCTAACTAAGCATCTGTTAATTATTATACTTTTTTTTAACTGTTTCTCCTAAAGGTTCGAGGTGTTGGAACAGGAGGAATTGTTTCTACAGCTTTTTGCCTGTTATACAAATTATTTACTCTGAAATTAACTCGCAAACAAGTGATGGGTCTTATAACACACACAGATTCTCCATATATCAGAGCCCTTGGATTTATGTATATAAGGTGAGCATATATTTATCTGTATTTTTAATAAATATCTCGTCGTAATTCACATAATTTTTTGTTGTTGTTGTTATTGTTGTTTTTGTACTGGGGATTGAACCCAGAGGTGCTTTATCACTGATATATCCCTATCCTTTTTATTTTTCATTTTGAGATGGGTTTTGCTTAGTTGCCTAGGAACTTGCTCAGTTGCTGAGGCTGGCCTTGATTACAGTTCTCCTGCCTTAACCTCCTGAATCATTGGGATTACAGGCATGCACCACCTTGTCTGGCTCACATAAGTTTAATAAATCTTCCTTGCAATTCTAGGTATACGCAGCCCCCTACAGATCTTTGGGACTGGTTTGAATCCTTCCTTGATGATGAAGAGGTATGTCAGCAAGGGTAATAATTAATTTTTTCTAATTACTTTTATTTTTAATATCTTTCCATTGGAGATTTAATGTCTTCAAGAATTTTCTGTAGTTATTTCAGTCATACTTTCAGAATTAAAGTCCTTTCACTAGGACTTGGTGGCTTTTACATATCATATGTTGAATTTAGTATGTTTTGTTTTTAAATTACTTAAATGTTTTTATAACTATTAGAAAATTTCTCTTCCTAATTAGTTTCTGTATATTGTATTGGTCCTAACTTGTACAGTTGATAGTGACTTTGAGGTGGGCTGTGGTCCAGATTGAGGTGATAAAAGACATGTAACAGAAAATTAAATGTATCCTTTTTTTCTTGTGGAACTTTTAGTTCTTCACTCTAACCTCTAAATACAAATATTCCCACTTGCATAGAAATGCAAAATTGTAGAGCTAGGCTTGACTTAAATAGGCTGAGAGTTTGGATGGTTGGTTGAAGGTGACAAAACAAGAACTTTTAATTCTGAATTTCTCATTTTTTGAGACGGGTCTTGCTGTATTTCCCAGGCTGGCCTCATACTCTCCATTCTCCTGCATCAGCATCTCAGTAGCTGAGATTATAGGCATTTGCCACCACCATGCCCTGCTAAATCTAGTTTTCTGGCTCCTGGTACATCACATATTTAAAACAAGACAATGCTATTCTAGATGTTTTTAAAATTCTAAATCCAGTTTGCCATCTTGAGTTTGTTAACATGTTTAGAAATTACTTTAGGAAACTTGACTAAGTTATACTAATTTGCTTACATATTAAAGTCCAGGATATCAAAATGTACCCATGTATTATGCCATGTATCTCTTCTCCCCATTACTTTGTATTTTAAGGTTCATAAAGTAGACTCTGATATAGCAGTAGTCATATTTTAAAAGTTCAAAGAATTTGTTGAATTAAAAGATGGTTCCAATGGAAATATTTTTGTTTGCCATTATATTCACATCAAAAAAATGACACATTTAGACATAGAGGATTTAGTCTTTCTCTACCTTTTTTTTTTTAAACCTGTTTACTGAACTGCTTGATAATTGGAAGACACAAAAATTATTTTAGGTGATAATCACAACCTTTTAAAGATTTTTTTTCCTCTTTATAAAAGCTTTTTTTTTTTTGGTTGTAGATGGACACAATACTTATTATTATTGTTGTTATCATTATTATTTATGTGGTGCTGAGGATCAAACCCAGTGACCCATATGTGCAAGGCAAGAGTTCTACCACTGAGCCACAACCTCAGCCCAATAAGAGCTTTTTAAGACCAAAATGCTTCTCCCTTTTGACTATAAAAAAGCATGTCCTTCTTTTTAATTGTATTAGGTTTGTTTTTTAATGGTTCTATTTAATCTGTTTTTTATTGTGCTTACAAACCTGAGGTCCTCTGTTTAAGCTAACTTATGTTTTCTTCCTTAGATATCTGCAGCGATTATATTTGGAAATACTGTATATCTGAACACTTAAATGTGTGTGAGTGCAAGCAGTTTTACCTTTAGCTCTTGTTTTCCTGTTTAGATAACAAATCTCACTTTCCTTGTGTGCTTGCACTATAGGTTTGGGACTGACAATAGCTGACTAACATGTCCTGAGCTGTGAGAGGGCATAGCAAGAAGGCCTTCATGCGGTAATGACCCTTTTCAGAGACAATGGTCATCATGGATTATGCGTTTCCAATTATTTGTTCATTTATTTATTTTCTACATAACTAAATTAGAAACCTCACTGCTTCATGGCAGTTGGTTTGCTATTGCTTCCAGTTTTATTAGGGCTTCATTTTTATATTACAGCTGTTAAAAAGATAACCTTTAGACAGAAATTGTCTGAAATAGTTCATATGTAGCTAGGTTACAGTGCTAGGTATGATGTGTGCAAATGTATCCACAGAAATATGTACTTAGTAGGTATGTGGAATGTAAATTAAGTCCTTTGTTCCACATAGTTTAGTAGTATAAGGTGCTTTTTCATATTATTACCTGAGTGAGATCAGTTCCCTTTATGCCCGTGAGGCTGCAGGATTTGTTCTCACCTGCATGTATACACTAAGCCCAAATATTTTGCAATGTGTCATTCATTACCAGGTTAGGATACAAAATTGAAAGTTTTCTGTTAGAATTTTTTTGTATTTGATTCCAAAGATGGTAATGTGTTTTTTTAGTATTCATGTTTGTGTTGAAATGCCTTTTTTTTCTTTTTGCTTTTTTATTTTTTATTTTTTGACCATTAGGGTATCTTTTGTGTTTCATAGGACCTAGATGTGAAGGCTGGTGGAGGCTGTGTGATGACCATTGGAGAAATGCTGCGGTCTTTTCTCACAAAACTGGAGTGGTTTTCTACCCTGTTTCCAAGAATTCCAGTTCCAGTTCAGAAGAATATTGATCAACAGATTAAAACGCGACCTAGAAAAATCAAGAAAGATGGAAAGGAAGGTGCTGAGGAGATAGACAGACATGTTGAACGCAGACGTTCAAGGTAGACGTAACAAATTGTAAATTTATTCCTTTTTATTAGGGATTGAATCCAGGGATGCTCTACTACTAAGCTACATCCCCAGCTTTTGGTATTTTTTTATTTTTAAGTTGCCACGGCTGGCTTGAACTTTTAGTCTTCCTGCCTTAGCTTCCCAAGAAGCTGGGATTGTTGTAGACGTATATCACTACACCCAGAGTTTTGTTTTGTTTTTACGCAGTCTTGGGAATTAAACCTAGGATCTTGACTATGCTAGACAGTGCTGTCCCACTGAATTACATTCTCAGTCCTTATAATACGTTTTATTCATTGGAATTTCCTTCTTCCTTCTCCATTTCTTAGATCTCCAAGGAGATCACTGAGTCCACGGAGGTCCCCAAGAAGATCAAGAAGTAGAAGTCATCATCGTGAGGGCCATGGGTCCTCTAGTTTTGACAGAGAATTAGAAAGAGAAAAAGAGCGCCAACGACTAGAGCGTGAAGCCAAAGAAAGAGAGAAAGAAAGGCGAAGATCCCGAAGTATTGATCGGGGGTTAGATCGAAGGCGTAGTAGTAGGAGTAGGGAAAGACACAGAAGTCGCAGTCGAAGTCGTGATAGAAAAGGGGATAGAAGGGACAGGGATCGGGAAAGAGAGAAAGAAAATGAGAGGGGTAGAAGACGAGATCGAGACTATGATAAGGAAAGAGGGAATGACAGAGAAAAGGAAAGGGAAAGATCAAGAGAACGGTCCAAGGAACAGAGAAGTAGGGGTGAGGTAGAAGAGAAGAAACATAAAGAAGACAAAGATGATAGGCGGCATAGAGATGACAAAAAAGATTCCAAGAAAGAGAAAAAACATAGTAGAAGTAGAAGCAGAGAAAGGAAACATAGAAGTAGAAGTAGAAGTAGAAATGCAGGGAAACGAAGTAGAAGCAGAAGCAAAGAGAAATCAAGTAAACATAAAAATGAAAGTAAAGAAAAATCAAACAAACGAAGTAGAAGTGGCAGTCAAGGAAGAACTGAAAGTGTTGAAAAATCAAAAAAACGGGAACATAGCCCCAGCAAAGAAAAACCTAGAAAACGTAGCAGAAGCAAAGAACGTTCTCACAAACGGGATCATGGCGATAGTAAGGACCAGTCAGAAAAACATGATCATCAGAGGAGCCAAAGTGTAGAACAAGAGAGCCAAGAAAAACAACATAAAAACAAAGATGAGACTGTGTGAAAAATTTTGTAAAAGTGGATCACATTGAATCCTATAAATGTTTGATTAAATCTGCTTTTTTTCCCCCCCGAGTTCAGATTGTGCAGTAGTTATGCACTCTTCAAGCTCCCTGTAGGCTGCATTTTCATTTCTTCTTTTGTGTAGGGAAGTGCCTTTGTAATCCCATTTATTGCATTGATGTTTTCACCCAGTTGTTGAGTTTGATACATGATGCACAAGATTGTTCTTGCATTTTTATTGTTTGTTTTTAAAATGTACAGTCTGTACATATGTCCTAAAAATGTTTTAATTCCTTTGGCATGGTTGCCATGTTGGTTAAATTTGTATAAGGCAATAAACTGCCACTAATTCTATTTTTGTTTTGTAGGTGTGGGATTATGGTTTGTGTACTGAAGTTAGCATGGCTGTGCTTTTCGTAATAGGATGCTAAAGACTTTGGGAATGGATCTTGGATATCTTATAGGAGAATTGTGTGCTTTCAATGTACATGAAGGCAGCAGTTGTAGGATTAACATTCTTGTCCACTGTACATTATCTTGGAAGACTTGTTAATATGTTATACTTAATTATTCTCCACAGTTAACTTTAGAGAGAATTTATGAGAGGTTAGTTTCTGATGCAGAGGTTTAAATTAGGCTGTGATTTGATCAAAAGTCCTTTTAGCATTCTACCTCAAAGGGACACTGTTAGTATGCCTAAAATTTATTCACTTAATTTTCCTTTTTTATTTGGGGGGAAAAAAAACAACATGACATGTAATCTTTTTTCCTTGAATTCTTTCTCAGATTTTTAAAGTACTATATTAAAGAAAAAATTAATGTCTAAAGCCTAGCATTCTTGCAGCAACCCTATACTAACTTGTAATTGGGAGAGGGTGGGGCAGATGAGTAGAGAAACAGATTCAAGCTCAAGCTTCCAAAGCATTTTTATAAGTGGAAAAATACTTAAGTTATGAAACAGCTTGATATAGTGTCCTTTTTTAAAAATTTAAAACTTTTTTTATCAATAATGAAGATTGCTATTTGAGTTTTTAAACAATCTAGAACGGAGAAGTATTAAAAGTAATGCTGTGCTGCATTATTTAAGACTATCAGCAAATTATTTGATAGATTGTTCTTATGACTTGTATTCTGATTACAAAGAACATCACGAGTGGAATAAATACTGGATTAAATCCTTTATCCTGGGTGTTGGCTTTTCCCCCATTTGTTAACATTTTTTAAAGGTATTTTTGTTGTGGAAATTGATAAAATGTCAATAGAGTTACACTTTGTGCAGAGAGAGATCTTAGTGCCCAGACAACAAGTGGATTTTAAAGAAACTCAGGGACATGTGATAGTTATCCTCAAAGTAACGGCAGTTCCCTTTCAGTGGATGTTATGTGTCACTGAGATGATCTTTTGATTGATTAATTTGTTCCACATAAAGTGTTTATTGAAATAATTTCATTTGGATTTTAAGTATCACTTTAAAATATGAACTTAAAGGACATTTTTATAAGACAGCCCATCTACTTCTTTTTAGAACAGAAAATAGAGGCCCAAAGTGATAGGCTTCATCAGTGCCAGGACTAAGAGTATTCCTGACAAGTCTAGTGATCTTTCTGTACACATACCAACATTTTTTATAACCCACTGGTTATATTGGCTAACTGAAGGGTGCTCAGAGCCACCTTGTGATAGTGTTAAGTTGAACGAACAAGTCCGCTTGGAAGAGCCTTCCCTAGCCAGGCATGGTAGTGTTCATATACTTTGGAAGCAGAGGTCAGAGGATCTCTAGTTCAAGGCCGGTTTTGGCAATTATAGGGAAACCCTATCAAAAATGACTGGGGATGTAACTTTGAGAGCACCAATGGGTTCAGTCCCCAGTATTGTGAAACAGAAAAGATGTTCCATATGTGGGTTTGTGCCTAATTTAAGAAAACTAAATGAAGGAATTAGCTATAAAAATCCTGTTTGGGGTCAGGGGTTGGTACTGGAGACTGAACCCAGAGGCATTCTACCTCTGGATCTACATCCCCAGTCAGTTTTGGAGACAAAAAGAGTTTCACCAAGTTGTGATCCTCCTGAGTAGCTGGGAATATAGGTGTGTGCCACCACTTCCAGCTTTCCCCCTTCCCCCAAGAGTATCAAACATACTAGTATAGATAACCTAGAAATTAGAAAAACCTACTTTTGAGTAATGAAAGCCATTAGGGTTACCTTAAATTGAAAATTGGTTTTCTAGTATACCTAAATTCCAGTGCTATTCCTTTGGATATAATTTCACTTGAAGTGTTCAGTGGTATATTTTAAGTAAGTAAAACGTGAAAAGTATTTCAAATGAAGATGAAAGTACTACCATAACCTGCATTTTTTATTTTGATTTTTAATGTAATTTTGCTTTTGAGGAACATTTTGGTACGTGTAAGATCATCTAAGTACTAGTTAATGCCAAGCATATGCGTGTTTTGTTTGGAGAGTGGCTTCCTAAGACTGTGAGAGAGCTCCATCATTTCTTGCAACATGAGATCAAGTTTGAAAAGATTTTAAAGCTTAGTATAACTAGAAGCCTCCATCCAGTTTTTGTATACACCTGAAATGATTTTACCTTTCCATGTATTAATCTTGGCATCTGTTTTTTAGTGTTCCATTTGCAATTAAGCCCTATACATGGGTTAGAATATTATCAATCAAAATTTTAATATAAAGTGTCCATTTTAATGCCATTTAATTTATAACCATTTGAGTCTGGTTTAGTTTTAGTTTGTTGTAAGGCAATGATTGTGTGTGTGGGGGGGGGGGGGGTTGGGATCAAACTCAGGACCTTGCTGGGCCAGTACTTTCCAACTGAGCTGTATCTCAGCTCCAATTACAGGACCTCTTAATTGGAGCTGATTTTATGGGGAAGGAAATGCTTCCCGAAAGTCTCTGCAATTTCTCCTCCTGGTATTCCATCTTTAAAAATTCCACAGAGCTTTGCAAATACTTCCAAAATGACATTTTTCACTTTAGGATCATTGTCTATCAACATTTGTTATAGTTGGGAACATGACAGCATGAATATAATCAACTGAAAATGTTAGCATTGTAGCTAACTTAAAATCCATTTCATTCCTCGGCATCTAGTCACATTGTGGGTCTGGGGTTGTTACTAGGGATTGAATTCGCGTGTCTCACAGTTAAGGCAAATTCTCTTCTATTGAGCCACATACCCAGCTTTTTATTTTCTGGGATGGTCTTCCTAAATTGCCCAGACTAGCCTTGAATTTGTAATGCTCCTGCCTCAGCTTCATAAGTACTGAGAATATAGCCATGCACCACCACTCCTAGCAAGAGAAAATCTCCATTAAGTAATATTTACTGTTAAGTAATAATTAAGTTCACAGGTAAAATGTATTTAGATGTATAGGGGAGTGCTATTTCAGCCTATTGCAAAAGTGAGTTGAAAGCATTTTATGTGTCTTAGAAGCTGTGAGATTTTGTCACAAGGATTGAGACACACACATATATACATACATGTATGTATATATTGTAAGGTAATCCTCACATAAACTTCCCTGATCCGTAGTTGCCTTTAAATTGTACCAATCTTCAAGTTGATTTTCCATGGTTTGTGTTCTGGCCATCTCCCCCCCGCCCCGACCCCCAACTCTTTCTTTTTAAGTACTGACAATTGAACCCAGGGGTACTTCACCACTGAGCTATATCACCAGCCCTTTATTTTTTGAGACTGTCTTGCTAAGTTGCTTAGGGCCTTGCTAAATTGCTGAGGCTGGCTTTGAACTTGCAATAGCTCTTTCTGCCTCAGTTTCCTGAGCCACTGGGATTACAGGCATTTGCAACTGCATTTAACCTGGCTGACCATATGAGTGCCACCTCATTAGGCTGGATGGTGACCTCTGATTTAGTCGAATAAAGGGATCAACCAAAAAAGTTTGCTGAGAATTATATAAGAGAATCAGTCTGTTCCCTCCAGTTTTTTTAAATTCAATATTTATTATTTATTTTTAAATATTTACTTTTTAGTTTTTTTTTAAGGTGGATACAATATTTTATTTTTATGTGGTGCTGAGGAGTGAACCCAGTGCCTCACGCATGCCAGGAAAGCATGCTACCACTTGAGCCACATCCCTAACCCCTATGTATTTATTGAGATGCCAAGGATCAAACCCAGTAGCTCACCTGTGCTAGGGAAGCGCTTTATCATTGAGCTTCATTCTAAAGCCGAATTATTTATTTCTTGGGTCATTGGAATTAGTCATTTCTACCCCCCACTCCCCCCACACACACAAATGGCATCAGCCCTGACCCCTAATATCTGAAATATAACTAAATGAAAACAATGTTTCAAGTCACCAGTATCCTGAATTTTCAACTACCAATAGAAGATATTTCTGAAGTGCTTGACTTATCCAATCAGTCCAGATAATACTGGTTTGGTGAACTTATTTTTTTCTGAAGTATTCCATATCTGATCCAAGTCCTGGGAATGGAGTTATGCTACAGCTTATTCAGGAACAGTCAGTTATTGGTTTGTGCACAAGTGTTATACTGTTGTATTTTTTATTTTCCTCAGTACTAGGGATTGAACCAACGGCCTCACATACTAGGCAAGCACTCTACCACTGAACTATCAATTTTTATTGGCTTCACCCAAAAAATTTATATCTACTCTTCATGACCCTGCTTTGTGATTCTGGGGCTGAGCCTTTTAAATATTTCTCCTTTGCTAGCTGGCATAATGTTAGGCTTGTTGGCAGAGGATGCTTGAGGGATGCTGCAAAAGGAAGGAGCTCTGGTTCCATGGTTTTATTGCATCTGCATTGTGTAGCGACCAGTATGTCATCCAGTGGTACTCATCCAACAAATTTCAGTGGCATTTCATTGAAGGAAGCAAGGGGAGTTCCTAGCAAATCTACAGGTTGTCCTGCTGGTGCTCCAGCAAGTATCTTCCCAGTGAATCTAAAGCAGCATTCCAATGGGAAGTGTCGTGTCTAGTTTTATTGACATTCCTGTATCTCTAGTCCCAGCCTTCAGTATCTCAGCAAATGGAAGGCCACAGCTGCACTCTCTCCAGAATTTTCTTTACTCTTAGTAATAAATCTGTTACTGATTAAGAATTCATTATGTCAAATGTCCCTTGTTGGAATTACTGTATTTTCTGAATACTGATCGAACCCTAAAATATATTATTAAGATGATTGGTATTAAGATGATACCAATAATATGAGTACCACCTCATGAGGTTGGATGGTGACCCCTGATTTAGTCTAATATAAAGGGATCAACCAAGAAAGTTTGCTGAGAATTATATAAGAGAATCAGTCTGTTCCCTCCAGTTTTTTAAAATTAATTAATTAGTTAATTAATTTAATGAGGTGCCAAGGATCGAACCCAGTAGCTCACCTTTGCTAGGGAAGCACTCTATCACTGAACTATAATCCAAGCCCTCCCCTTCTGTTTTGACTAAGAATAAGTAAGAATTGACTGGTCCTTAGAAGCCCAAACCAGACTTGCATAGTTGTGGTTTAAGGATGGCCATGTGAAAGAGATACCATGATGCTTAAGTCACTGTACTTGAAGCTGCCTGGCTTCCTGATGGTTTTCTAGTTTAGTCTAGTTTTGTTTTGTTTTCCAGTCTGGTTAAGTGAAAATTCTTACAATTTCTTTATTTTCCTTAAGATGACCTGAGTTTCTCTTCCTTGGAACTAGGAGCCAAACTCTAATTTCTCTATTATAATCATCAGGAATACCTGATCAGTGAGATTCTTCCTGATATTTTCCTGAGACTGAAGGGGCTTTTTGTTGTTGATTGTTTGTTATTGTTTGTTTTTAATTTTCAGACAGGATCTGACAAGGTTGGTCTCCCACTTGTGACCCTCCTGCTTCAGCCGCCCAAGTCACTGTAATTATAGGCATGAACCATGTGACTCTGAGATTGAAATTTTATCTATCTTCAGCACCAGTATCATCCACTTGATTTGACTTAACAAGTCAAAAACAACTTTAGCTGCAATTCCTTTTCCTTGGCAGAAATGATCTGCCCATGGGCAGAAGAGAGATGCAGGAGTGTGATGGAAGACAACAGTATGAATCAGGGCCACTAAAAATCATGTAGTTTTCCATTTTTTTCTTGGACAATCAATCCTACTCCACATTCCTTCTGTATTTTTAACACACACACACACACACACACGCCC